TTTTTTTTTTTTTCTGTGTGTTTGTATGTGCACCATGTGCATGCTCTGTGCCTATGGAGGTCAGAAAAGGGCATTGGATTCCTCCTGGAACTGGAGTTACAGATGGTTGTGAGCCACCATGAGGGTGCTAGGGATTGAACCTGCATTCTCTAAGAACAGCAGCCCACAGTTTACATTATAAAAGGATTTATTTATATATTTTAATTTTATGTATTCGAGTGTTTTGCCTGCATGTATGTATGTGCAACACATATGTGTAGTGCCTGTGGAGGTCAAAAGAGGATGTTGAAGCCTGTGGAGTCATAAATAAATAAATAAAAATATTACTTGCTGCCTGGAACCATTTGCTTGCTGGGACTCAGAATGGCATATTTGGCCAGGATGGTGTGTAGGTTGTTTGTTAAGGGTTTGAAGTTTCCCTTGAAGTTGAGCTTCTGAGTCTTTTCCTTGTTGTTGCATTAGAAAATTCTCTTACAGCCTTGTGCCCAGGTTTGCAATCTATAAAACCTGTGATTTGATAGTTAATAAAAGATAACTGTAATTCGAGCCTTTTGTTTGAAAAGCATTCTAAAAATGCAGCAGCCGTGGCAATAGCAGCCTCTGGTGGCAGAAGAATGAATTTCTTTTATTGATCAACCTGGTGATTTGGAATTGGGGTAGACCAGGCTCAAGGTTCTCTGTCCAGTGGTATGTGGCAGAATATACCGCCACCCCAAATGCCACTTGGCATGAATATTATTTTGAGTTTAAAGCAATTAAGAAAGAGTAGGTGCCAAAAGGCTATCAGATAGCACCATTTCACTTTATTAAAGCGTGAAATAAAACCTTCCTATGGAAATGGTCTCTTTATACCATAAAAGGTTCTTATCCTTTTAAATTTTTATTTATTTACTTATTATTATTTCTGTTTGTTTTTCGAGATGGGGTTTCTCTGTGTAGCCTTGGCTATTATGGAACTTGCTCTGTAGACCAGGCTGGCCTCAAATTCAAAAAGACCCACCTGTCTCTGCCTCCTGGGTGAGGTTTCTTTTTCATAATTTCTTTGTTCAACTTAATATGAAAGCATTTAGGGGTTGCCATTTTTTCGGTTCCTTATGAGAATTCCAACACCATTAAATAAATGTTTACATTTTCCCCTGTTGAATTATACATCCTATACTAGCTATGTGTGGTGGCTTATAGCTGTAATCCCAGTATTCAGGAGGTAGAGGAAGGAGAGCTTAAGCCCATCTTAGTCTATATGGTGAGTTTCAGGCTATCCTGGGCTACAGCATAATTACAGACCTAATAACACAAAGGAGTTCTCAGGGCAGATGGCAAACAGAAGGGTTGATGGAGAGGCTTTGGAGAGGAATTAGCAGAGACTGTAGATTACATGTGATGGATATTTACATTTGAAGAGAAGGTAATCTGAAGCTTTATCAAACTATGGAAGCATCCTAAAATATAAAGAAGTTTAAAATTATTATGTGGTTATGTTAGTTACTTTTTGCTGTGATAAAATGTCTGACAAAAGTAAAGAAGGAAGTTTTTATTGTGGCTCACAGTTGAGGGTGCAGTCATCTTGGTTGGGAGTCTTGGGCACAGGAGCAAGAGGCAGCCAGTCCTTGTGAATCCACTTCCAGGAAAAGCAGAGAGCACTGAATGCTAATATTCAGCTCATTTCCCCCTTTTTATTTAGTTCAGAGTTTCAGTCCATTGACTGGTGCCACTCACCTCAATTAACCTAATCTACACAGTCTCTCATAAGTATGCCATGGACTCGTCTCCTAGGTCCTTTCTACTTGATAATCATGTTAAATTAACCACCATGGGAGGCACACAGCTTTTCTCTAAAATGTAGAATACATACTGAAAACCCTTGAGGTGATTGTTTTTGTTTTGTTTGTTTCTTCTCTCTCCTTCTCCTCTACCTCTTCTCCTTTTATTCTCCTCTTCTTCCTCCTCCTCTTCTTCCTCTTCTCTTTCTTCTTTTCTCCTCCTCCTCCTTCTTGGTGGTGGTGCTGTGGAATTGAACCCAGCGTCTTATGCATGATAGGCAAGACACCTATCTACATCATGAACCAAGTCTTCAGTGGAGCTGTCTTCAAGCTGAGCATGAGGTACCTAGGGTGCATCTCTTTTGAGTTGTCACCTCTGCCACAATGGGCCTCTCAATGATGCAGCTGCTCTAGTCTCTCACATGGTGTATGCTCCTGTCGTAGAGCACTTCACCCATGCTTGGGCTTCATAAATAGACAAACAAAAATAAAAACAAGCTAAGGCCTGGGATGTAGCCCAGTTGTAGCACAGGCTTGATTAGCCTGTGCAAAGCCTTGGGTTCAGTCCCAAGCACTCAAAAGGGAGAAAAAACTAATTTTGATTTTAGGACATACTACAACATAACAATAAAAATATGTATTTTGTGTGTTCATATGTGTCTGTATATGGGCATATGTGTGTGTAACTTTGTGCACACTCTGAGGCCAGAAAAGAGCACCTGGTGTTCTCTTACATTTCTGCCCCTTCCTTTTGAGGCAAGGTCTCTTCCTTAAACTGGAGTTTGCATCTCCCCCACCCCCATGTTGGAAACCAAGAAGCCCCCACTGTTTTCCTGGTTTCACCCTAGTCAGAGCTGGGGCTACAGGCATGGAGAGGTTGCCTGGCTTGTCATGTGGGTGTTGGGATATGAACTCTTGTCCTTGTGCACAAACACTATTAGCTGCAGAACCATCATCTCTCCAGCTCCCAAAGTCATGTTTTAGTACAACAATATTATTTGTACACTGGGCATTCTTCTGAAAGAAAAAATAAAAATCCTCAGTTTCTGGAGAAATATACACAATAATCATGTTGGTAAAACCTACCAGACTTTATCTGTAGGTTAATAGATTCAAGTATAGAAACTTGAGGGATGTATTTTAATATAGATGAGCAACATGAATATTTTCTTGAGACTGGGTTTCTCTCTTATAACAGTGCTGGCTGTCCTGGGACTAGCTCTCTAGACCAGGCTGACCTCGAACTCACAGAGATTTGCCTGCCTCTGCCTCTCAAGTACTGGCACTGGTTAAAGGCATGTGCAACCAACTGACAGATAGTATTTTTAATATATGAAGAGCTCTTGGACTCACAGATGGTTCTATAGGCAAGGGCATTTGCTGCTAAGCACAGTAAATAAATGCTAAAAACCAGCTTTTAGCAATCACCGAAGTGACAGGAACCTACAGAAAATGGGCAAGTAAGTAGAAATACAGGCAGCCAAAATATGTCCAGCTAGGTATTCACTCTCAAAATTTAATAAATGGGGCCAGGCTGGAGAGATGGCTCAGCAATAACCACTTATTGCTCTTATAGAGCAATAAGTTCAGTTCCCAGCACCCACATCTGGTGGGTCACAGCCTCTTTTAACTTCATTTCCAGGAGATCCAGAGCCCTCCTCTGACTTCCTTAGGCAACTGCCTGCAGGTGGAGCACATAATGCACTAGGGCACATACACATAAAATGAATAAACAAATCTTTAATGAAAAGAAATGGAGCCAGAGAGATGGCTCAGTGGGTAAATGCACTTGCCACCAAGCCTGACAACCAGAGTTCAGTCTCTCGAATCCACATGGTAGAAGAAGAAAGCCCATTCTTGATATTTGTTTTTCAACCTCCACACACATGTTGTGGCATGTGGACACACACACACACACACACACACAGAGTAAATGTAATAAAAAATCTGAGAAACAAAAAACTGCAAGATAACTTTTTCTATGTATCAGATGGCAAATGCCATGGCCTTTCAGGTGGAAGATTTAGAAGTTATGTGCTTAGTAGAGCTGTTTTGTCCCATTTGCTACCTCTTTGCTCCCTCCCCCTTTCTTCTATCAATTCTTTGCCACGTCTTTTTTTTTGTTGTTTGTTTTATGTAGAATAGGATTTCCCTATATAGCCCTGGCTGTATATAGCCCTTGCTTTCCTGGAACTCACTTTGTAGAACAGGCTGGCCTTGCCTCTGCCTCCTGAGTGTTGGGAATAAGAAAGAATAAAGGTGTGCGCCACCACATCTGGCCTGTTTGCAATCTCTGTAGGAACACTTAACACCAAAGCATAGTTTGTCTTTAGGGTTGTTTTTCTTAATCCACAAAAACATTTCTGAAGTTGCTTTTCAGAAAATCATCGAGAGATTATGTACACACACACACACACACACACACACACACACACACACACACACACGGATAACGTACACTTCATTAAGGACTTATAACAGTACATAAACAATGGCAATAGGATATTTCTTTCCTTCCTTTCTTTCTTCCTTTCTTGTTTTTTCGAGACAGGGTTTCTCTGTGTAGCTTTGGAGCCTATCCTGGCACTCGCTCTGGAGACCAGGCTGGCCTCGAACTCACAGCGATCGGCCTGCCTCTGCCTCCCGAGTGCTGGGATTAAAGGCATGTGCCACCAACGCCTGGCTGGCAATAGGATGTCTTAAATTGGGTCTAAAATGTCTATATAAAAGCTGATTGAGCCAGGCATGGTGGCATATGCCTTTATCCCAGCACTCATGAGGTAGAGATGGGCAGATATTTGTGAGCTGGAGGACAGGTTGGTCTACATAGTGAGTTCCAGGCTAGCCAAGGGTATATAATAAGTTTCTGTTTCAAAAACAAAATAACAAACATACAAAAGACGTCTGTGTGGGGTTTCTGCAAACAACACGGCAAGCTCTGGAATGAGATGCAGCCACCCAAGAGTTAAAGTGATGCTCTTATTGAGCTCATAAGAGCTATCTCACCAAGCCATCTTCAAGTGCCTTTCAGAGTAAAAAAGGAAACAGCGAAAGCACAGTGACCCTAAAGGAAACCGAGTAGATTTGGCTGTGATCGATGCGGTGGATGTGTGTTGCGGTGGAGCAAAAGCGAGAACTGCTTATCCGCAACAGTGGAGGAACCCTGCTTCGCGCTCCGAAGGTGCCTTGCCTTGCCAGCTTTTACGGCCCATCTCGGCCCCCGTAGCGGAGCCGCGGTAGCGGAGCGGCGATCAGCCGCTGGGCGGCGGGCCCTCCCTGGCCATGGCGGGCGAGCTGGAGGGCTCTAAGTCCCTGAGCGGGCTGCTGAGCGGCCTGGCGCAGGACGCTTTCCACGGACACCCCGGTATCACCGAGGAGCTGCTGCACAGCCAACTCTACCCGGAAGTGCCCCTGGAGGAGTTCCGCCCCTTCCTGGCGAAGATGAGGGGGATTCTTAAGGTACAGCTGCCGGGCCATCGGTCCTGCCCCCCTCGCAGCCTCAGGCCCGCCCCCAGCCTCGGCTGCTGCTCGGCAGCCCGCGGTCTGCGGCTCCTCTGCGCTCCGCCGGAGCTGTGGCGTTCGCTCTGCTGCGCTCTTTGCATTAGGGACACACACCGTGAAAGCCTTGGGTTTTCCCCTCAAGACTTCTCTCTGTGTGTGGTATAGCTAAGTTTCGAGTTTTCTCGGTCCCGGACTTCTGTAAAATTGATGGGATGCAGCTAGGCGTGGCAGTGCACGCCCTTAATCTTTGCACTGGGGAGGCGGAGGCTGGCAGATTGCTTTTTGAGTTCGAGGTCAGCCTAGTCTACATAGCAAGTTCCGGGACAGCTAAGCCAGCCAGGGCTACGTAGTGAGACCCTTGTTTGAAGAGAGTGAGAGTGCGCTTGCTGGCATTTCTGCGCTGTGGGAAGGTGGGAAGCGTTAGAATGAGGTGGTTGGTGAGAAAGGATAGACTAGCTGGAGTAAACACCATTAAAGAATCGACTTTATGGTGAAGAGTATATTTACCAAATGGAACAAAGTTATACATCAGTCTTATGAAGGCAATCAGAGGGAAACGTTAACAGGTGAAACTAATTTAAAAAGATTTATTTCTGTTTTATGTGTATATGCGTGGTGCTTGCATGTATGTAGGTGCCTGGTGCCTGGTGCTTGCAGAGGCCAGAAGAGGGTGCCAGATCACGGAATGGTTGTAGGCCACCATGTGGGTGCTGGGAACCCAGGTCTTATACAAGAGCATTAAGTGCTCTTAACCGCTAGGCCATCTCTCTAACCCCCACCTCAGTTTTGATACAGGACCTCTTGTAGCCCACACTGGCCTGGAACTCACTGTGTTGCTGAGGATGACCTTGAGTTCCTGATCCTCTTACTTCCACTTCCCAAGTGCTAGAATTACAAGCATCTGCCACCACCACCTCCTGCTATGGTGTGTGGTGTGTGGTGTGTGTGTGTGTGTGTGTGTGGTGTGTGTGTCTGTGTGTGGTGTGTGTGTGTCTGTGTGGTGTGTGCGGTGTGTGTGTCTGTGTGTGGTGTGTGTGTGTCTGTGTGGTGTGTGCGGTGTGGTGTATGTCTGTGTGTGTGGTGTGTGTGTGTGTGTGCGCGATGCATATGAAAGCTAGGGGTCTACGCTGGTGCTTTGCACTATCACTCACCCTCCACCTCTCTTTCCAGACAGGGGCTCTCACTGAACCTGGAGCTCACTGATTGGCTAGGCTAGCCAGAAACTTCAGAGATCTGCTTGTCATGGTTGCTGGAGATTAGAACCAGGTTCTGATAGAGCTATCTGCCCAGCTGGTCTCTGTTTTTTTTTTTTTTTTTTTTTTTTTTTTTTTTTTTTTAAAGATGTTATAATTATCTAACTAGTATATTTAAAGTATTATTATTTATGCAACCACTATACAGTGAATTGTTTTCACAGAGTCTTTAAAGTGTGTATTTTACATTTAAAACATTTTTAGCTGCCACATTTCAAATGGTTAAAGTGGTCACATGTGGCTAATGGCCACTGTATTAATTCAGTCTGATTTAGACCCAGAATTAAGTCATAGGAATGCTTCTGGTGCCAAAGTGTAATGAAAAGAAAAACTAAAAATAATGCATTTTTAACCATAGTGGGAGCCCATCCATTTTGCAGATTAGAACCTGGGGCTGAGGCATGGCTCAGTTGGTAAAGTGCTTGCCATATGAGCATGAGGACCCGACCATGTAAATGCCAGGTGCCTGGAATTCACACTTTAGGGAATTGGAGACAGGAGAATCTCTGGGGCTTTTTGGCTAGCCATGCTAACCCAATCTGTTTATTTCAGGATGGGTGAGAGGCCCTGGTTTGAAAAATAGAGTGGAGAGGGGCTGGACTGAAGGTTCAGTGGTTAAGAGCACTTGCTGTGCTTGTAGAGGACCTGGGTTAACACAATCTGTCACTCCAGTTCTAGGAGACCCAGCACCCTCTTCTGGTCTTCATTGGGCACTCACACGGTGCACTTACATGCAGGCAAACACTCATACACATAAAATAAATAAATAAATACATCTTAAACAAAATGACATGGTTGCACTAGGGAGGTGGCTCACTATGTAAAATGCTTGCTGTGCGAGTGGGAGGACCTGAGTTTGGATCCTAGCACCCAGGAAAAAGCCAGGCATGTTTGTAACCCAGCAGATGCCTAGACTCACTGACAGCTGGCCAGCCTAGCCAGTTAGTGAGCTCTGGGTTCAGTGAGAGACCCTGTGTTAGAATCAGCAATAGGGCAGAGCGCCAGGGGAAGCTTAGCAGGTGAAGGCACTTGCTGTTGAGCTTGACAATCTAAATTCAGTTCATGGAAGCCACATGGTAGAAAGAGAATTGTGGCATGTTGTTCCCTAACCTACATATGTGTGAGCATGTGAGGATGCCTGAGCTCGAGTGCACGTGTACACACCCACACACACCATATACACACAAAGTGGAGAGCCACTGAGGAAGATACCTGATGTTGGCCTCTTGCCTCCATCTGCACACAGATAAGGAAACAAGGTGTCTTAATAGCCTAAAACCACACTATTTAAAATTAGTGTTAAATTTAATTTGCTATTTAAAAATACTTATGCCTGGGCTGGAGAGATGGCTCAGTTAAGAGCACTGGCTGTTTTGGTTTTTTTTAAAGATTTATTTATTATGTATACAGTATTCTGCCTGCATGCATGCCTGCAGGTCAGAAGAGGGCGCCAGATCTCATTACAGATGCTTGTGAGCCACCATGTGGTTGCTGGGAATTGAACTCAGGGCTCTTAACCTCTGAGTGATCTCTCCAGCCCAACTAGCTGTTCTTGCAGAGGTTCTGAGTTCTATTCCCAGCAACACATGGTGGCTCACAACCATCTGTTATGAGATCTGGTGCCCTCTTCTGGCCTGCAGGCATGCATGCAGGCACAACACTGTATACATAATAAATAAATCTAAAAAAAAGAAAATGTGTCCATAATATCAGGCGGTAGGCCAGCCTGTAGGGCATTTAAAAAATACTTATGCTTTTATTTATTACATTGCTTTGTCTTTTTTTCAAGACAGGGTTTCTCTGTGTAGCTCTGGCTGTCCTGGAACTTACTCTGTAGACCAGGTTAGACGAGCCTGGCCTTGAACTCAGAGATCCCCCTGCTTGGGGCTCCTAAGTGCTGGGATTAAAGATGTGCATTACCACCTAAATTTTCTTACAATATTTGAATAAAAGAAAAAATGCAGTTACTTCACAGAAATTGATGGGAATTGGCTAATGCAATGGGGGAGTAGTATCTCAGTCACTGTGGTGGTTGTATCAGCGTGGTGCAGACCTGAGGTGTTAACACCATGGAGGGGAAGACAGAGGCTCTTGGACTGAAGGCCAGCTTTAGGTCTTGTGCATACATAGCTCAACAAGCCAAAGGCTGGGGATGTAAAACACTTGTCTATCCTGTTCAATCAAGGCTCTAGTTTTGAGCCAGCACCCTCAAAATACAATTTGAAGTCTCAGCATAATTGTGGACATTCTAATCAACTTTATTGGTATCATCTACCCTGACTAGATGCCTTCTATTTTATCAAATCTTCAAGTAATCCAGGAGGTTTTCTAGGAAATTTGGTATCTGGTTTGGTGTTTACTTGGTCCATGAGGATGAAGATGAGGGGACAGACCAGGAAGAACTGCACCTATTAAAGGCAGTGTCTTAGGATCTAATATTGGCTCTGCTGCTTATCTCTGGGTGATTCTTTGTTTTACTATGAGGTAAAGTTTGCTAGATAATGGGGAGAAGTGATTGTTTGCAAGCTGTCTCTTTTATTTCATTTTAAATAAATTGCTACGTAAGACACAGGATACTTGAGTTTTCAAGTGGGTCTGGGTTGTAAAGCTAGCTGACTCTTAGCTCCTACACTAGGCAGTGCTTCCAAGAGCTGCCTGTCTGACAGCACAGGCTTTACATAGTGACTGGTCTGAAGTGCCAAGAAAGAAAGCCTTGATTAGTTGAAACTAAAACATGTGCTTAGGATTACTTGTTTCAAGTCTTTGTTCACAATAGAAGTAAAAATTATTTTTTATTATATGTATTTATGTGTGCCTGTGCAGGTGAATGCAGGTGCCTGCTGAGGCTAGAGATGTTGGGTTCCCTGGAACTGGAGCTACAGGTAGTTGTGAGTTGTCTGATGTGGGTTGCTAGGATCAGAACTCAGGTCCTCTGAAAGAGCAGTGCATGCTCTTAACCACCAAGACAGCTCTCCAGCCCCAGATGTCTCTAATTCTTATGAAAACACACAGTACAAATATGATTTTAAAGCTGAGAATGTCTAGTATTTAAATTATTTATGTATTTATTTAGTGTGCATAGGTCAGAGGATCACTTACTGAATGAGTCCATTCTCTTCCATCTTTTGTTTTTGAAATAAAACTTTTGTTACTTTTGTTTTTGAAATAAGGTCTCATTATATAATCTTGGCTAACCTGGAGCTTACTATGTAGACCAGGCTGGCCTTGAACTTATGGGACCTATCTTCATCTGCTTCCTGAATGCTAGGTTAAAGGTATGTACTACCAGGTGGTTTCTGGGGGTCTAATCCAGATGGTCAGGATTGGTAGCAGGTGTCCTTACTCACTGAGCCATTTCAACAGCCCATCCATTTTTAATAAAGGGAACATATATAGATACGTATGGTATAAGGATGTTATAATATTTATAAACAGAAGTGAGTAAGCAATTCTGGACAGAAAGGAGGCATCCTTTCTGCCTTTTTTTTTTTTTTTTTAAACTAAAAGACCTAACATTTTTATTTACAAATGAAACTCTGGTAGATGGGGGAGAAGTCTTCCTTATCACGCCACTATAAAACATCCAGGTGCAGCACCATAATCTCCCAGTGAAACAGAAAAACACAGACCTGACAGGTGCAGCACCATAATCTCCTAGTGAGACAGAAAAACACAGACCTGACACACCTCCTCCCCCTCCTGTCTGAGTCATGCCATGCCAGGTCAGCACCATCTTATTATTGGAGGCCTGGGAGTCAAGGGCATGTCATCCCCATGGGTGTCCTCATTGTAGGAGCAGGTCCCCCAGGCATTATCCCAGCAGGAAGGGGGCCCATGTTGGGTGCTTGCATTATACCAGTGAGGAGGACCTGGGAGACTGGGGACGGGTAGGATTGTGGCCCCTTCAGTGAGGAACACAGAATGGAGCTGGAAGTCTCCTTCCTTGTTGAACTATAGCCATTGTTTTATCTTCAGGCTTTGGGCCTGCTCTCCCATCCATTTGGGGATGGGATGTCTTTCACATTCCTTTTGTTTCCTACTACTGCAATGTCTTCTTCATAGACTCAGAGTCATCGGAGAGATGTGTTGCTGTAATCACAATGAAACCACTGCTACCCTGCCAGATTCCAACACCCCCCCCCCTTTTTTTTTTTTTAGACAGGAGCTCATTGTATAGCGCATGCTGGCCTTTAACTTATAGAGATCTGCTTGTTTCTGCCTCCTTAGTGCTGGGTTTAAAGGTATGCACCATCACCCCCAGCCTCTGGCAGGCTTCTTAAGATGTTATTTGCTGCTTTTGAACAAAGTGCTTATTTTAGACTTAGATAAGGGGCAGCTTTATGGGATACTCAAAGTTAATAGCACATGTGGGACATGTTCAAGGAATAATGAATAGGCTGGGGGTAGCTTGGTAGGTAAAAGTGATTGTTGTACAAATGTGAGGACCTGGGTTGGAATCCCTAAAGAACACATAAATACTGGGAGTGTGGGGATTGGATAGGTGGTTCAGCAGTTAAAGAGCATATAATTTGGTATGAACAGGCAGATCTCTGTGAGTTCAAGGCCAGTCTAGTCTACATAGCAAGTTTCAGGTCAGCCATGCTACACAGTGAGAGCCTGTTTAAAAAAATAAGGGATGTTAGTGTTTCTGTACTCCTATGTGCTCTTTCTTAGCAAAATATAGATATAATTTATATTTGGAAATTTTGTTCGGATTCAAAGATATAAAAATGTTAATATATTAGGATAATAAAACATCACAGTTTAATGTCTTGGTTATCACAAGAAAACTCAACATATGAAAGCTAGTTCAAACTGTATGGACAATAACATCAATACCATGAAACTAAAACTTATAACATCAAAAGTCTAAGAAATAATGAATACCTGTTTCTGTCTCTGTTAAAGCCACAAGACTTTGTAACTTGGTTGGAAATTAGATTGAGACACCATGTCTTTCCTTTGCAATCAGTTTTGTTTTGAATATCTTGGGGTGTCTGAAGGATAATGGGTTAGGTTTTTATTCTGTAGAGGAGTTTCATTGTGGCCTGGTCTCAGATTCTTGGGCCCAGGTGATGCTGGCAGCCTGGCTCAGGATCTGTGGCTCTGGCTTTGCGGGCCTGGACTGCTGTCCTCTTCTCTTCCTCTTCTTGAGCTGTGCCTCTCGCGACCCTTTGTTTCCTGCTTGTGAGACCTCTTTCGCCTATGAGGACTCTTCCTCTCCGACTCCCTGTTTCTCTTGGAGGAGTGGTGTGCACTGGAGTGGGAGGTCCTTGGCTTGCCATAGTATTCCTCATGGTGGTCCTTCCTTTCCCTCCTGTCTGAGGAGTTTTTACCAGAGAAGCCAGTCCAAGCTGGAGACAGGTAGACATCTCTGTTAGCGTCTCTAAATTCATTGTTGGGGTTTCTGAACACATGAAGAAAGTTGCAGTGCTTTCCTTTTGGACACTTTTGCATTTCATATAAACCACAAATTGCGATTTTCCACCGGGTCACCGGGCAGAACTCACACTGGAGCTGTCGTCCTGCGTACCATCTTCCGTTAAAGAGAGAGAGGGCCGCTTGGCATTCTTCTTCCGACTGGTACTGCACATACACGTTGCCCCGCAGGTGAGGTTCTAGGTTGCAGCTCACCTTGAACTGAATCACTTTCCCCACGTTCTTGAACTCGGGCAGCACATCATGGTAGAAGTCCAGAAACTGCTGGTAGGTCTCCTCCTCGCTGTACTCCAGGCTTGCGTCAGAGTCATAGTCGTCCCTTCTGCACTGCTCCATCCCAAACGTTGTGAACATGCTCTTCACAAGAAGGGTGGGACTCGAGGTGGGGAAGTCGTGCTTCCGTGAACACCTGTTACCAAATCGGCACGCTCCTGTTTTACTGTAGAAAGGACAACTGGCTCGATATTTCTCCAGTCTTAATTCCTTGGGTGGTTCCGGGTTCTGCCAAGTGCCATCATTTTCAGCCTGGTCCAGCATTTTCTGCACTGCTTCCTCTCTTCCTCTCTTCTCTTGTAGCTTCTGCTCCTCTTCTTCTCTCTGTTTTTTCTGTTGCTCTTCCCATTCCAACTTTATCTGTCTCTCCTGCTCTTCCCTCTGTTTTCTAGCGGCTTCTTCCTTTTTCTTCTTTAGTCTGAATTCTTCTTGCGCCTTTTCCTCCCTCAGCAGCCATTCTTCATGTAATTTTTGTCGCTCTATCTCCAGTCTTTCCGTAAGTTGGTCGTCAGTAGAAACATCCTCCTCCTCCTCCGGTGGGGCTGCAAGGGCTCTCAACCGAGCTATATTCTGCCTACGTCTTTTGCGTTTCTCCTTCCTTAGGGCAGCTCGGTATTTTTTGTGACTGAGTTTTTGAGGAAACACCTTCTCCTGTGTTGCCATCTTACTGCAGAACACAAATCCCTTACCAGATCTCGCGATAATTTCTCTTTGCCGCGCTGGTGGATTGAAAAATCTCACCACTGCTAAGTTGTTCTGCTTTTAGAGTCTTCCTGAACAGCTGGCACCATAAGGCTCAGGTGACTTTTTTTTCTCACCAGCCTTAGAGGGTTGAACTGGCTGGGTCACGGTCGTGGGAGCGCAGTGCACCAGTAGGCGTGTGTACGCATGCGCGCTGCACTGCGCAAGGAGTCAAAGGCCGGCTTCTGGGTTGGAATGCGGCAAGTGCGGCGGCAAGTGCGGCGGGGAGCGGGCGAGCGCTTTATCTGCAGAGCCGCGCTTCCGGCTTTTGTGTCTCCGCCCCTCGGGTTTTCCCCCCTGCCCCCAAGTCTGGGTAGTTCTGTCAATCCCTTCTGTGCTAGGGTGCCGGCAGCCCCGCTCCCCGGCTCTGCTCTTTTCTGGGGCTAGGAGATGAAGTTCTCATGCTTGTTTGGCAAGGGCCTACCAATTCAGCCCTCTCTCTGCCTGGTTTATCTTTAGAATGTTTCTTCCTCCCATTGAATGCGTTTTGTTATTGGAAAAGAATTTGCATTTAGGGCGGTGGTGGCCCATACCTTAAATCCCAGCAGAGGCAGGCAGATAGATCCCTGTGAGTTCAAGGCCAGCTTTGTCTACAGAGCGAATTCTAGGACAGGCTCCAAAGCTACACAGAGAAACCCTGTCTTGAAAGACAAAAACAACAATAAAAACAAAACAGAACAATAACAAAAAACCCAAAGAAAAACAAAAACAAACAAAAAACTTTAGCGGGCTGTAGTGGCACACTCCTTTAATTCCAGTGCTCGGGAGGTAGAGGCAGGCCGATTTCTGTGAGTCTGAGGCCAGCCCAGACTACAGAGAAAGTTCCAGGACAGTATCCAAAAGCCACACAGAGATACCCTGTCTGGGGTGGGGAGTGTGCATTTAATGTGTAATGTAGCGTTGTGGGTTATTCACCAGAGAAGACATGCTCGGACATGGGTTTAAGCCAATATGAAAGTTCTTTTTTGCTTGTTTGTTTTGTTTGTTTGTTTTGGTTTTCAAGACAGGGTTTCTTTGGGTAAGATCCCCGGCTGTCCTGGAACTCACTTTGTAGACCAGGCTGCCCTCGAATTCAGAGATCAGCCTACCTATGCCTCCCAAATGCTGGGATTAAAGATGTAACTCCCCACCTCCCCAAGCTAGTTTCCCTCTTTAATGCAAGTGATCCTGGGATTCACTGGATAGTCCAGGCAGGCCTTGAATTTGCAGGGATTCTTTTGCATCTGTCTCTAGAGGGTTGGCATGGCACAGCATCCTGAGGTAAATATGGGCTCATAAATAGAAGAGGGCAGGTACACTTTTTTAGGTTATAGCTATAAGCTGTAGTTTTATTTTTCTAATGTAGGTGGCAGTGTAATATTGGTTTGCTAACATGCTGCAGGAATCCACAACATAATGTTTAAATGTTTTCTTTTTCTGGAATGTTCTAGTTGGAAAAAATGCTTTTGCTGGCTTTTAAACAACAACAACAGCAACAACAACAACAAACCAAATTGTTTCAATGGGACTGTAGAGATGGCTCTTTGGTGAAGAGCTCTTATTGTGAGCTGGGTGGTGGTAGTGTATGCCTTCACAAATACTTGGGTGGCAAGTACATACCCACTTACAGATGAATAAATTAATGTAGTAGAATTTTATTAGTTAAAGTGGGGAGCTGGGCAGTGGTAGTGCACGGGATTTAATCCCAGCTCTTGGGAGGCAGAGGCAGGTGGATCTCTGTGAGTTTGAGGCCAGCCTGGTCTACAACGTGAGTTTCAGAACAGCCAGGGCTACATAGAGAAACTCTGTTTTGAAAAAAACAAAACAAACAAACAAAAAATCTGACAAAACAACAACAAAAAAGAGCCCTGTTGCTCTTCAAGAAGATCCCAAGTTTGATTCCCAGCACTCCAATGGTGACTCACAACCGTCTGTAACCGAAGTTTAAGGGATCAGAGGTTCTTCGGGCTTCCAGGTACATCAAGTGGCACACATACATAGATTCATGCAGGCAAAACATTCATACTCATGAAATAAACAAACCTAAAAAATAAGTAATTATTTCAACTAACTAATTTAAAAAACAAATTACAGAAAATTTTGTATAGCCAGGCATAGTGCCTGTAAATGTCTGTAGTCCTAGAATTGCTGAGATAGAAGAGGGAGGTTGGGAGATCAAGGTTACCTTTGACTACTGTAAGGAAAAAGGGCCAGCCAAAGAAACACACTCTGAGCAGAGCAAAAGAAACACACTTTGGCCCTGCAATCAGAACCAAAGAAATGCACCCTGACCCTGAAACCAGTGCCAAAAAAACACACTTTGTTCTTGGAATCAGAGCCAGTGAAAGAAATACACCCTGGCCCTAAAATCAAAGCCAAAAGACTAAAATGGACCAGTGAAAGAAACAAAGTTGGCTCTGTAGCCAGAGCCAAATCTGACCCTAAACCTGTGCAGAAAACTAACCAATCCCTGATCTACCCATCCTGAGCTCAGGGATTGAAATCTGACCAGTCCACCCCCTAAGAAGCCATATATAAACCCCATGTCTGTTTATCTTATGGCTGTTCAGGCAGCCACTCTCCTGGATTCTTCCCTCACAATAAATCTCTTGAATGAGGTTTGGGTAACACTTTTCTTTCTCCAGAGCAGAGATGACCAAGCAGGGCTGTAACACTTTTCTCTGGGGAAACCCTCCCTTGGCTAACTGAAGTTATTACATTCATTCTCTGGGGGACCGGAGCCAAACTGTACCAATTTTGCTGGGGAAACCCTCTCCTGCCGCAGCAGAGCTGATACATACACTGGGGAAGCCTCTCCCTGAAACAGGGATGTAAGCTACTATGCTCACTGTGACCTGTGGTGTTGGGGGGTTGTTGGGTTTCTTTCAGGGCCACTTTTTTTCCCCATAATTCCCTCTTTTTTGTTTTATATGAGGGGTCCCTGTCTTAGGTCACGTAGACTTTCCTGCCCCTTACCTGTCATTGGAGAGCCCTGATCTCCTGTCATAGGTGGGGCGGTTTCCCATGGGTTGCCCGTCATGGGGACCCCTTCATCTCTTGTTGAGCTTCTGTAGCCAAACCTCATGGCTACCGGGAGAACCATGGGTGAGGCTAAATAGGACTTGTCTACGTAACCGTTCCTTCTGTTGGAAGGTCCGCTGGACCTTGCATAGTACAAATAACCCTAGACCGGCCAGAAGTACTCCCATAATGGCAAAGGACATAGCGCCTCCCCATCGCTGTACCCAACCCCCTAACTGGGTCATGGCATTCCACCACCCCTCGCCTGAGAGTGGAACAACCCTCATCTTATTAATTTCTACAATCCGATGAGCCAAAACATTGGTAAAATTTACAAAAGAATCATTCCAGTGTCCAACCAAATATGCATTCAATCTGGACACTCCGATAGAAACATTTTTTACCGAAACCAAACTGAATATGGGAATTTAGGGTATTCTGCATGGCCAGGGCCTCGCTGACTCTGCCAGCAAGGTTATTAACAGTCTCTGCATTGGAAGTGGACTGAGCAACGACAATACCCGCAAAGGCTGCCGCAGTCATTGAGTTGGCAATAGTGGCAACAACAACAGCGGTGATCCCAAAATCTCTTCTGTTCCCATACAAGATGATTTCTTCCCCGGTATGGTGATATTCCACTACCATGGGAGCTAGGAAGGGGATTTGATCAGGGCATTGGCATTCTCAGGAGGCCAGCAGTTATTCAGGACACAGGAGCTGGAAGAACAATTGAGAGATTCTCCCCCATCTTCCGTCCCATTCCATGTAACAAAGAAAAAGGGAGATAGCACACAAGCCTTACTAAAATTAACCTTTTATGATGTCTCGAATGCTTGGGAGGTGTTCCAGCTGGCTGTTGCGTTAAAGGCCAGGTCTTGCTGCAACATAAAGGGGGTGGGCATCAGTGAAGGCCCGAGGCCCACATAAATACATCCTGGAGAAGGTGGGGGTTACCCCCGTTCTTCTCCATGGTCGGTCGGAAGCATTCTTAAATGGTGGTTGGTGTCCAAACCACCAGAGAGGACCTTCTCCTTTCAATATCCAGGGCTCTTGAGTAATGCATTCTCCCCAAAGCAAGGGGGAAGAAAGTGAGTAATCCCTCCCTCTCTGCCAGCACAAGGGGGCTGGCTTAGGGGGGCTTTGTGTTGAATTATTTCTCTGTTGATTAATGGGATATAGGATATTTCTTAATCCCAGCATTTTACTATTACTACTATTTGGGGAAAATTCAGCAATGGAGGAATTACATAACACCACACAGTGACCTTTAAAGGAGGTGTTCGATGGCAATTCACTACTATTCTGGATATGCCTAAGGCGTAAGCTACCTTTAAGCAAAAGGGTCAAATTAGATAGTGGTCTCTGTTCCAACTGTATGTTGGATGCTGCCATCCCCAATGAGTTATTGTTGCTGAAAAAGGCAGGGAACAGGGAGCTTCTCTGGCTGACCGGCATCAGAATGGGTAGATTCCTCACAAGGGCCCATACTTCCCTTGCTGGTCCGCTCAGTGATGTCTGGGTTGTCTTGATCAGGGCCAGCATGAGGATCACCGTCAAGGTCCACATGACGGACACACCATTCAGGGACCCTGTTGGGCTTTCACTTCCTGGAGGAAAAACACAAACAGCTCCTCTAACCCTAGCTAACAGGGGAGTGGGTGGCTGTCATTTTCCTGTAAGCAGGTCTTTCCATCTAACCCATCCCAGTGATTGAGAGGGTTTGTTCCAATGTCTCTCCATTGTAGACAAATTATTTTTATCTATAGTCAACAAATTTAAAATGTAAAGTATGGTATATAATTGAGAATTGGGGGAGGTCATATATTCCCCCTTTTTTATTTTATAAAAATATTGTTTAAGGGTGGCATGAGTGCGTTCCACGATGGCTTGTCCCATAGGGTTATGTGGGATGCCAAATGAATGCTCAATGTGATGTTCCTTGCAGAAGGCTGTGAAATGCTGACTAGCATATGCAGGACCATTATCTGTTTTTGAAAGACCCCAGACCCCTAAGGGCCTCGGGGTCCCGAGGAGCCCCCGAGAGTCAAAAACCAGACCAAGAGCTGCAAAAGCAAGAGGGTTTATTGAACAAATGCGCATTCGGGTGTCAGCAATATTGGGAAAGCTGCACACCCCAGCATAGGGTGTAAGCTCCTTATATAGGAAAAAACCGCAGATCAGCATACAGGCAAGGGGCACAAAGTGATTGATTACAAAGTAT